TCATGGCATAGAATCTTTAAAATACGTCCAAGAGTTTTACACACCGTTCTGTTATTGTGGCGACATTTCAAAACACTTTTTCTGACGGACTGATATGACAAACACTGTTAACATACATTTGTACATTCTCTAACACGCATATTTTGGTTACACAGTTCATTTAAAAGCCTCTGGTGTGTAAAAATAGTAAATACCATTATGTCCTCCTGTTTTTTACAGTAATAAAAGTTATAGGAGCATTAAATAGTTAAAGAAATCATTTTGAACAAAATTTATTCTAATGCTCATTATATTAGCGTTAGCCGCGCTTATGCTAACGATTAACTAACATACGCTAACGGCGATGTTTATTTCAATCCGAAATTCAAATTAAAATATGGAATAATATTCCCAACAGAACAGAAGCTCTAAATATTAAAAATGTAATTGAAACTTACCTGCTTGAACTTGATCGGGGTGTTTTGTTAGTTTGATGCGTTTCCTCCTCTTGAGGTCGCTGGTACCGTAACGTTTTCATTTTTTTAGTACCGACTTGGTACCGAAATACCGGGTCTTTTGACAACACTAGGTTGGACAGGTAGTTGTTTTTACGTGCTGGTTGGTGCTCGAAGTGTTTAAAGTTCTGGCTGATAGCAGAAAGGTTTGGATTGAATCTGGCAGGTGGTGATGGATCACTGTGTATATATAAATGTTATTTTACTCATCCTAATGCTTGAGGAAGTTATGAACAAAATTAACTTTAAATTTTTGTCTAAATTCCACGAAATTGTCAACATTATTGATTGTCAATTTAAACCTAAGTGTTGAACATTGGTGCTTGACATCATACTGGTTTTGTACAATATGAGAATAAAAGTGTATACTGTTTTATTTATACTTGTTTTATTTATGAAAAAGTGTATACTCATAAAAGTAATGAGTATATTTTTTTATGGGAAGTGAATGGGTGCCGTCAGAATGAGAGTCCAAACAGCTGATAAAAACATCACAATAATCCACAAGTACTCCACACCACTCCAGTCCATCAGTTAATGTCTTGTGAAGTGAAAAGCTTTATGTTTGTATGAAACAAATCCATAATTAAGATATTTTATGGCCAAAATAAGTCTATAATCCATAATAATGTTTCCTCCAGTGAAAAAGTCAATTTCCTGTTGTCTTCTCACATCAAAATCCACCCACATATTTGTTTGGTTTTTGACTATTTTGGCTTGTAAATTGAGCTTGATATGTGCATATTTCTCTCCTGATTCAGACAAAATAAATTTTCCACTGGATGGAGCGTTATTATGGATTATAGACTGATATAGAAATATAGACATATTTTGGCCAGACAAAGCAGTTTAAAGTTAAAAACGTCTTGATGGATTTGTTTCTTACAAACACAGCTTTTGGCTTCTCAAGACATTAACTGATGAACTGGAGTGGTGTGGATTACTTGTGAATTAAGGTTTTATTCTCGTAAGCGCAGTTGTATATGTTGACGCACTAACCACGAGGCTATCGGCGCCAACGAAAGTTTAAGATAGTTGAAATGAATTTGTCAGATGGCCAATAAAACACACGCATGTATTTCATGAACACAAATGTCGTCATGTGCGTAATTTCTTAATTGCACGGCAGATGTTTTCTTACCTCTCCAGATTCAGAGGGAGCATCAGATGTAGTACAGTATGTACTGTTCTGTGAACAGGTCAAAAACTACAGGCCACCCGCGCTTGTTAACTTTAAAGGAGCAGTTCAGCTCAAAATTTAAACTGCCATCATTTACTCTCCCTCATGTCTTTCCAGACCCAAATGGCTTTCTTTTTTCTGTGGAACACCAGAGAAAAAAGGACAAAAAGCATAAATCTACATAAATGTTATTTATGCAACATGTACACTACATTCAGAGCCTTCTGGTAGTGGTTGTGGATAGTTCGTGGGGTAGTTCGTTAGAGTTTTCTCTCTTATCCTTCACTTTTAAATAGCTTGTAAATGGGTGGTTCGTTAGAGTTTTCCCTCTTTTCCTCTTTTCTATGCTGTGTTGGACAAGTGACGTAATCAGTGTTGTAGCTTAACACCGACTGTTGCAGCAAGCCTAATTCGTATTTTCATATATTTTCAGTTTTCATTTTAATTTGAGTTTGTTTCAGTAATTTTATGTGCTTGTATATTTTAAGACTTTTTCTTAAATGTGTTTTTTTTTAGTTAGTTGTCAAGGCAGCATTTCTCATTTTCATCTTAAGTTTTTATCTAATATTTTAATTTTATTTTATTTCTACATTATTTAATGAAAAAAAAAATTAAATAGTTGTGGTTTAGTTAACAATTACAACATTATTCAGTGCAACTTTAATGAAATATGTCATGTGTAAAATTTTATATTATTTTAATATTTTTAAGGAAATTATTGTCATTGTTATTTTTATTTTAAAACTTTTACTTTAACTTGAATTGGTTTTATTTAATTTAGTTGTTAGCTTTCATGTATATTTATTACAAATTCAGTCATAGGTATTTTAATGCTAAAATTTTAGTTAGTTTCCAAGGCGTCATTTCTATCATCATTTCTTTAATTCCTTCAAATTTAAGTTTTTATCTACTCTTTATACTTCATTTTATTACAGCTTTATTTCAATTAACAAAAAAATAAAACAACAATTAATAGTTTTAGTTAACAATTACAACACTGTACAGCATGGCTTAGAATGAAATATATTTTTTATATTGTAAATATATATTTAAACCTTGATATGGCATATTACAAAACTGTATTAACTATTTTACAGAAGTAAGAAAGTAATACATGTTTGAAATATTTACATAAAGTCATTTACATTTAGTAATTTAGCAGATGCTTTTATCCAAAGCGACTTACAAAGTAGAAGCAATCAGACCAACGAGAGAGCAACAATATACAAGTGCTGTGACAAGTCTCGGTTAGTCTAGCACAGTGCACATAGCAAGTTTTTTTTAAAATAAATAAATTAGACCAAAACGAATAGAATAGACTAGAATAGGTAAGTGCTAGTATTAATTGGTCAGGTGATGGCGAAAAAGATGTGTCTTTAGATGTTTTTTGAAAATGGCTAAAGACTCAGCTGCTCTGATTGAGATAGGTCGTTCCACCAGCTGGGCACAGTCCAGGAAAAGGTCCATGAGAGTGATTTTGTGCCTTTTTGGGATGGCACCACGAGGCGACGTTCACTTGCAGAACGCAAGCTTCTGGAGGGCGTGTAGGTCTGAACTAGCGAGTTTAGGTATATTGGTGCAGCGCCAGTGGTTGTCTTGAAGGCAAGCATCAGTACCTTGAATTTGATGCGAGCTGCAGCTATTGCAGCTATTGGCAGCCAGTGCAAGCTGATGAAGAGAGGTGTGACGTGAGTTTTCTTCGGCTCGTTGAAGACCACTCTGGCTGCTGCATTCTGGATCAGTTGCAGAGGCTTGATAGTACATCCAGGAAGGCCCGCCAAGAGAGCATTACAATAGTCCAGTATGGAGAGAACAAGAGCTTGGACAAGGAGTTGTGCGGTCTGCTCTGTTAAGAAGGGTCTAATCTTCCTAATGTTGTATAAGGCAAACCTGCAGGACCGGGCCGTTATAGCAATATGGTCTGTGAAGCTTAACTGATCATCCATTAAAACTCCAAGGTTCCTGGCTGTCCTAAAAGGAGTTATGTTTGACCAACCTAGCTGTATAGAGAGGTTGTGATGAAGTGTTGGGTTGGCTGAGACCACGAGCAGTTCTGTCTTAGCAAACTCCAAGGTTCCTGGCTGTCCTGGAAGGAGTTATGGTTGACGAACATAGCTGTATAGAGAGGTTGTGATGAAGTGCTGCGTTGGCTGAGACCACGAGCAGTTCTGTCTTAGCAAGGTTGAGTTGAAGGTGATGATCCTTCATCCAGCCAGAAATGTCTGTCAGACAGGCTGCAATGTGAACAGCTACTGTCGGATCTTCTGGTTGGAATGAGAAGTTGTGTTGAGTGTCATCAGCATAGCAATGATAGGAAAAGCCATGCTTCTGAATGACAGATCCTAATGACGACATGTAGATGGAGAAGAGAAGTGGTCTAAGCACTGAGCCTTGAGGAACCCCAGTAGCAAGAAGTTGTGACTTAGAAACCTCACCCCTCCAAGACACCCTGAAGGACCTACCAGAGAGGTAAGACTTGAACCACTGGAGTGCGGTTTCTGAGACGCCCATCTTCATGAGGGTGGTCAAGAGGATCTGGTGGTTAACTGTGTCAAAAGCAGCAGACAGATACAGCAAGATGAGAACTGAGGATTTGGAAGTTGCTCTTGCCAGTCTCAGGGCTTCAGTAACCGAGAGCAGTGCAGTCTCAGTTGAGTGGCCGCTTTTGAAGCCAGATTGGTTGCTGTCCATGAGGTTGTTCTGTGCAAGAAACATAGAGAGTTGGTTGAACACAACTCGCTCAAGTGTCTTTGCAATGAACGGAAGAAGGGATACCGGTCTGTAGTTTTCTAAAAGTGCTGGATTTAGAGAGGGTTTCTTAAGCAGTGGGGTTACCCGAGCCTGCTTGAATGTTGTGGGAAATGTACCAGAGTGAAGAGAGGTGTTGATAATGTGAGTGTGCGCGGGTATAACTGAAGAAGGTGAGTGGGGATAGGATCAAGCGGACAGGTAGAAGGATGATTGGAAAGGATCAGTTTAGAAACGTCTGCCTCCGAGAGTGGAGAAAAGTAGGAGAGAGAATGAGTATTTGTGTTTATGAAGTTTTTGTCGGTTTGTGGTGTGGAGAATTGGTCGCTGATGGTTCTTGTTTTATTTATGAAGAATATTGCAAAGTCATCAGCAGTATGAGTTGATGAAGGAGGGGGTGGAGGAGGACAATGAAGAGAAGAAAAGGTTTTGAAAAGTGTGCAAGAGTCAGAACAGTTGCTAGTTTTGTTGTGGTAGTATGTTGTCTTAGCAGTGGAGACACTTGCATAGAAGGAGGAGTGACTGATATACACTAAGGTCAGTAGAGTTTTTTGATTTGCGCCACTTCCTCTCTGCAGCCCTGAGTCTAGAGCAATGTTCCCGGAGAACATCAGACAGCCAGGGGGCAGAGGAGGTGGTGCGTGCTGGCCTGGATGAAAGGGGGCAAAAGTTGTCTAAGCAATATGTTAGAGTGGAGCAAAGAATGTCAGTATGTTTGAGTCCAGTGCTGAAAACTGAGAGGATGGAGGAAGTGAGGATGAAACCGTAGAGGATAGGTGAGTGGGAGAGAGTGAGCGTAGGTTACGCCGAAAGGTGACCTGCGGAGGAGTGTGTGTTGTGTCCGGAGTCAGTGTGAGGTTAGAAGTGATGAGGAAGTGGTCTGAGGTGTGCAATGGTGTAACTAAAGTGTTGTCAGTTGAGCAGTAGCATGTGTAGATAAGGTCCAATTGGTTACCTGATTTGTGAGTAGCTGTAGTAGACACGCGCTTGAGGTCAAATGAGGCAAGCAGAGTGTTGAAGTCAGCAGCCTGTGGTTTATCTAGGTGGATGTTGAAGTCACCGAGTAGTACCAGAGGAGTACCGTCCTCAGGGAAGTTTGAGAGTAACACATCCAACTCATCACCCAGTTGACCTGGGGGACGATAAATAACTACAAAATGGATTGAGTGAGTGAAGTGACGTGTGGCAACCCATACTCGGAATTTGTGCTCTGCATTTAACCCATCCAAGTGCACACACACCCAGAGCAGTGGGCAGCCATATTGCTGCGGTGCCCAGGGGAGCAGTTGGGGGTTCGGTGCCTTGCTCAAGGGTCTCACCTCAGTGGTGGTATTGAGGGTGGAGAGAGCGCTGGTTATTCACTCCCCCCACCGACAATTCCCACCAAACCTGAGACTCAAACCCGCAACCTTCGGGTTACAAGTCCGACTCCCTAACCATTAGGCCACAACTGCCGACTGATTGTAACCGGGTGGGTAATAGTAATTGCGTGTGATTCAAATGAACTGTTGCCAGTAAGAGATGGTAGACTATCAAATTTCCATTCTTTTGAAACAAGTAGACCCATCCCTCCACCCCTCCCAATCGGGTGTGGGGTGTGGGAAAAGGTGAAATTAGTGGAGAGGGCTGCAGGAGTGGCAGTGTCCTCAGGTTTGAAAAAAAAGAAGATAAAACCACTTCTCATAAAGAACAAGAACATGGTCTTCTTTTTAATGAAATACCAATAGTTATAGGCTAATTATGCATTCTTTATAGCAAATTGTTTACCATATTCTTCATTCTTTCAAGCAGACATATTTATTTCTATAAATAAATTTAGATTAATCTTTAGGGCTACTAAAGTTTTTCAGTCAAGAGCAGTGCATGATTTTCTGTCTTTCTTTTGTTGCTTCATTAACGTCAATGACTCGGACAATAGCAACTAAATTAGGCTGCTGTCCCTTTAAAACCGGATGCACGGATGCAATGGATGCAATGTACTGATACACATTCTCCCTGCTGTTTACGTTTACTTCAGACGTAATTAACTGTGTTTATGTGAATACTCGTCAAAACAGACAATTCAACATAATTTTGTGTGTAATTCTCCGTTCATGCGACGCGAAAGTGTACTCGTGTGCTGTGAGACACGCTTTCCGTCAATAGATTTACGTCATAGTTCTTGTTATTCAAAAAGAATTTTAGTTCGTTATCGTCTCGTTGTCGTCGGTGAAAAAAATGTTTTCACACTGAAAATGAAAATGAAATTAACACTGCACACGAGGAGGGCTGCCGCGGTGTACTGAGCAAATATATACTCCCGATTCCACGTAATTGAATGCAACTGGCCATGTCTTGCTACTTATTAACCGAAACTGCAAAATATACTGTGTTTTAGGATAAACAGCACAAATCACAGCAAAGCAAATTTAAATTGTTTGCTTTTAGCAACTAAATTTAAACTAAGGCTAATAATGAAGACAAATGCTGTTCTGACTGTATGTAACTTCATCAGGACATGAGATGTGGCTTGTAAATTCATGACATCTAGTCACCGGACACAACAGAAGAACGTTGTTTTAGCAAGTTCATGCAAACATGCTTTCCAGCAATAGCTGTTTTTGCTGTTTGCTCTTTGTTTTGGGGTTTGATCGATGAACTTGATAAAGCAATCTGAGAAGTCCACCCTGTCTAAACCATGTTTGTGTTGTAAAGATGTCAGCCTTTTTGTTTGCAGCCGTTCCTCTGAGAGCGTTGCCCTTAAAGCAGCAGTTGTGATGTTGTGATATGTTGAAAAGTTTAATTCAGTTTTGCCGAAAAGTAAAATATTGTTCTGTCTAACACATATTTTTAGCTTCCCCACATCTGTCCTATATCTGGTTATTAAATTAATCAAATGCACAATTTCCATCGTTTTATTGAGGTTAGTGATCTTAAAATGTGACTTGCTGCAATAAAATGTTGAAAACTGTATCGTATATGATACAAACAGTCATTATTATTTTAGTAATGTTCATGCAGTATTATAGTATTGTGAATTAGCTTTCATTTTTATATTTTCATTTTGATTTTCGTTTGTTTTAATGATTTTGTTCTATGATTTGTCTTTTTTTCCATTTTTTGTATTTCTATTTAGCTTTATATTTATTTCAGTTCTTGGCTTATTCATTTTATTACTTAATTTTGACTTTTTTATTTCATTTAGACGACAAGGCAACATTTGTTTGCAAAAACTAAATTTTTTGTTTGTTTTCCAGCTTTATTTCAATTAACAAACAATTTTTAGTAGTTGTAGATTTAGTTACAACACTGTACAGAGCGCACTTAATGAAATATTATTTTTACATTTTTAAAATTTGTAAACTTTGAAATTTCAAAATATATTTCAAAATAAACTTTAAGGTGCGAGAAAACACATTTCCGATTTTAACATAAATTTTGGGTAAATGCAAAAAAAATATCTATTAATTTTTATATACATGCTAACAGTAAAAGAACATTTTAGTTTGGGTGTAAAGTAAAACATTCTCCTGTCCTACAAGCACTTTCCCAAATCCAGCTATTAAATTTATTAAATTAATTGCTGTTTTATTGCAGTTAGTACCTTTAAAATGTGACTTGCAATAAAATGTTGAAACTGTGTATCATTTTCCTGATGTTGCTCCTTGCTGTCCTTTGATTTTCATCAGAAAAATGGACAAGCAGCCTGATAGCATTGAATAGTAAGTGTCATGGAAGGGAATGATGAGGTGAAGTGGTTTCTGCATTCATATTCATGGCTTTGTTTGCTGATGAGAATCCAGTCTCCTGCTGTGCTGGCTCTCTTTAAACCATTAAAGGGGTCATATGATGCTTTTTTAAAGATCATTATTTTGTGTATTTGGTGTAACAGAATATGTTGACATGCTTTAATTCTTTTATGTGACCCTGTCTCTCTCTCTCTCTCTCTCAAACACACACACGTGCGCGCGCGCACACACACACACACACGATGCGCAAAACTCCGCATTTGAACATCACGAACAGCTTGTAACACTCCAAAGAGAAAGAAAAACTTGAATTCGCAACATATGACCCCTTTAAAACACCTCCGGTCTGTGTGTGTGTGTGTGTGTGTGTGTGTGTGTGTGTGTAGTGCTGGCTGTGTGCTTGACCATTGATATCGATCATAGATTGGGTTTTATTTATAGCGTCTCGCGCTCGGATGGCTATTGAGAGGGAGTTAGCCTGCGCTTCCAGTCTCATTAGCTTGGCTGCCATCTATCGATTTACAGTCTCATTCCTTTGGCTCTATGAAGTGAAAAATGTAATGGCTGAATGCATAAACAGTTGTCCTGTGCTTGATGAGGATGCATTATTTGCACTTGTTTGAGTTGTTCTGTCGAACCGATCAGTGCTTTATATACAGGAATCATGGTGTCAAGTATTACCGTATGAAGTGTGATGATGATCGTGGCTATAAAGACTGAAGCTTGTAACTAGTCTTATTTGGCAAAATTTTGTAATAAATAAATAAATAAAATGTGTGTTTGTGTGTGTGTGTATACATACACACAAACACATATGTGTATGTAAAGTACACGCTTAAATATATGTTGTAAATATCCAGTGTTGTTTATTATTTCATATAGTATTTATTAATATTTAATATTTTTATTTACATATATATTTGGCTTTTAGTTTTGTACTGTCAGTTTTCAATTTAATTATAATTTTAGGAGTTTAAAATTTCAGATTAGGTTTTGTAAAGTGCTTTTGTCATTTTATAAGTTTGTTTATATTTTTCTTTTTATGTTGATTTCATATTTTATCTTTATTTATTCATATTTATTGATACATTTGGATAATTTTTATTCTTACATAAGAATTTTTATTATTTCTATGTAGGTCGTTAGTACTTAAGCTCATTTTATTTCTGTTAGTTGCCAAGGGAACACTTCTAATTTTCGTTTACATTTTTCAAATGTAAGTTTTTATTGAATAGGTATATTTATATTTAAATGTATTACAGCTTTATTTAAATGAAAGTTTTGAGTAGTTTTAGTTTTAGTTAACAGTTACAACACTGTCCACTGTGACTTGATTTCATTTAAACCTTAAAATGTCAAGATATATTACAAAATGCAGGTGTAAAATGCGAGAAAACTTTAAAATAAATTTTGGAAATATGCAAAAATGTGTTACAAATATTTTAGTAGTTGTTAATTTATTAATATTTGTAATTTGTTATTTTAATATATAATTATATATTTAAAAAATGCAAACATTTGTTTAAAACTAATTTATTAATTATTACTTTATCAATATTTGTAATATATAATAATTATACATTACATTATTTTTTATAATAATTTAATATTAATATAATTTTATTAAATTTTTTGTAAATTATTAAATAGATATTAGCCAGTTTATTTTATTTTTATTTTTATTTTGCATTTAAACCCAGGGAAATGTGTGGTCTATGGATGCTGTTTCTCCCCAGGTTTCAGCTGAAAGTTTGACCGCAAGCTGTCATGTTAAATTGAAGAAGTGCAGCCTTCTGTTTTAAGCGTGTTTTCCTTTGAATGTCAGTCACAAGATTGAAAGGAGGCTGTAGCACAATCTCCAGCGAGTGTATTTCTGGGCCATGCTGCTTCTGAGCATGTGCTAAATAATGGCTCAGACCTCAAGTGACTAATTTTGTTGCCATCTGTGCACTGTTGTTTATCAGCACAGCCATAAAATGCCACAGATGCCATTATAAAGCCATTGAAACGGTGTCGCTCCCGAGGAAAAAAGTCTTTAATATCCAAAACAAGCTTCTGGATTGACCGAATAGATGATCCCGCAGCTTAATGAGCCACGAAATGCCATTGTGGAAGAGTAAATATGACAATGGTTTATTATTTTTCACACTATTAAGGCCAAGGTTATGTGTAATACAGACACTCTGATACTTACGATGATTTGGGTTGGAATAAAATGAACAGGTCAGGCAGTTTAATACTTCTTTATTGCTTTTTTTTAGCTTAAGGATCCCTGTTAGGGGTGTGATTGATGCTCTAGCTGCACAAAGGATTATGGGAAATGTAGTTTAGTCATACAAACCTGTCGCTTCATAAACCAGAAGTGCTGTTTTTCCAATTTGGTTGCAATTCTTAATGAAAAGTACACAAAATGTATTAAAATCTATGTAAATATTTATATTGTTTTTCATTAAATATTTTTAAAATACATACATAATATGCTTACAACTATTAAATATAAAAATTATGTAATATGTATTGTATATAATTTTGCGTGTGTATGTGTGTGTGTAAATATAGATATACTTACAACTGTTGAATATAAAAATTATATAATATTTAGGCCTACTGTATATAATAATATACTATCTGTGTGTGTGTGTGAGAGAGAGTATTTATTTATTTATTTATTTTGTTAAAATGATAAAAAAAAACATATAAATATACTTATAAATATAAAATATAACAAATTGTTTATATATTGTAATATGTAAATTAAAATGATAAATAATTTGTATGTAATATATAAACTGAATTTATATATTATAACTCTCCAAATACATTTTCCTATCCAAGTATATTATTTATTTATTTATTTAAGGATGATAGGAAATGTAATTTAGTCATGCAAACCTGTCATTTTGTAAACCATTAGTGTTGTTTATCTAGTTTTATTGCTATTATTTATGAACAATATACAATAAAAAAGCATTTAGCCTTCATTATTAATCTTTAATTAACACCTCCAACTTGCGAAGTTGGGTTTAGCAGATTAAAATGTATTTAATTACGATATTGTGGTGTTGTTTATGTCTGCTCATCTTGCAAATATGATCGCTCTGACATTTCTTCACTGTAGCAGTGATTTTGTTTGCTACAGTAAGTGATGTAAATAAAGTCATGTGGTCTTTGACAGTGACTCAAAGGAGGCAGGACTTTCCCAGAAGACCACTTGTCCTCAGAACACACTGCTCGCCTTAAGTTCAGCCACTTATCTTGTTAAGAGGCATTTTGTCTCTGTTGTTTCATAATGCGAGTTCCTTTACTCCAGATATGCTTGAGGACAGCCGGGAAAAACTGGGAGATTTTACAAGCTGTTACAGAAAGCAGCCGTCATTTACGTCACACGCGTCATGCAGAGAATGCAAAAATACAGCAAAAAAGTATCAAGTAGCTATAATGGAGGTCATATAGAGTTTAATGAACATATATTTCAGCTTGTTTCTCACACAAAACTATAATTTGACTTCAGAATATTTAGAGCACGTGAGTTAGTTTTATCCCAGTGTTATTTTATAAAATAACAATCAATCAATCAATAAATAAAGTATAATTGAGATTATAGATTATAGTTTATATGTGACCCTGGAAAACAAAACCAGTCATAAGGGTCAATTTTTTGAAATTGAGATTTATACATCATCTGAAATCTGAATAAATAAGCTTTCCATTGATGTATGGTTTGTTATGATAGGACAATATTTGGTCGAGATACAACTATTTGAAAATCTGGAATCTGAGGGTGCAAAAATATCACCTTTAAAGTTGTCCAAATGAAGTTCTTAGCAATGCATATTACTAATCAAAAATTAAGTTTGGATATATTTACGGTAGGAAATGTACAAAATATCTTCATGGAACATGATCGTTAATTAATATCCTAATGATTTTTGGCATAAAAAAACAATCGATAATTTTGACCCATACAATGTATTTTTGGCTATTGCTACAAATATACCCCAGCGACTTAAGACTGCTTTTGTGCTCCAGGGTCACAAATAATATTTTTAATTTGTTTTCATTTTTAGATTTTTGATTTCATTTTAATTTTTAGTTTGTTTTATATATTTATTTATTTATAACTATAAAAACCCTGATGTTTTGTATTTAAGTTTTTTTTATTTAAAGTTTCTTTTAGTTCCTTTTTCAAGTTTATTTCAAGTGTAGTGGCATTTATTTTTGTTTGTTTATTTATTTTAGCTATACTAACCCTGGTTTATGGTGTTATTTGACCTTTTTGACAGTATATATGACCCTTCACTTACTTTATTTCATGATTCCCTTTTAAAATACTTTACCATCTGTCATTCATGTAAAAGACGTCAAGTTTCTGAAAGCTTTTTGCGATGTTTTTAAAATTAGTAACTATTTATTAACTACACTCTTACAAATAAAGGTGCTTCACGATGCCATATAATAACCTTTTTGTCTAAATGGTTCCAGAAAGAACCTTTAACATCTGAAGAACCTTTCTGATCACAAAAGGCTCTTTGTGGCGAAGGAAGGTCCTTCAGATTATAAAAAGGTAAGAAAGAGATGGTTCTTTGTGGAACCAAAAATGGTTCTTCTATGGCATCGTTTGAAGAACCTTTTGAAGCACCTTTATTTTTAAGAGTGTATACTGTCACATAACAGTTTTTTAAATCTGTGTTTCATATGATCGCTCATGACAGCCTAATGTTGGTTCGATGAACGCAGATCTGCATTTCACATTCACACCTGTTCTCCACTGACCCCCTTGGATCCTCCTGCAGGTACATTCGAGCAGATCAGAAGCTGAATGCCAGCATCTCGAGCAGCGGCTGCAGCGATCAGCCGGATCAGCAGGTGGTGTTTCTGGAGCACGTGGTGGTGCGCGTCCTCATCGTCCACCCGCGCAGAGGAGACCTGGAGATCGGCCTTGTATCCCCCTCAGGGACGCGATCACAGCTGCTGGCTCAGAGGTGATGCAGAACACACCAGCACATCTGACAGAGCTCAACTCATAACAACTCCCCATAAGAGCTGTACAGTTTTAGTGCTTTCTGCTTTTTATTGGCTGGATAGTGGAAATGATGAAAGAGTTTGGTCTTGCATCATCCGCATGAGCGCTGCAGCTCATTACAATAGAGAAAGTGCGCAAACCACCAGACCACCAGCATGTTTCTTTAAACTTGTATCCGTTTTCTATAAAGTTCATCTCAATTTTCTTAAACCAGTTCTTCAAACAAAATGCATTAAAGGAAAAATTTAAAATACTGTACGCAGCTTACAGTGACAGCAA